TTTGAAATGGTTTAATCCGGTCTAATGGAGCCATCGCACGTTAAAACATTTTGGGCTCAGACAACAGGTGGCGAAAGGACATTCCTCTTTTTAGGAGGAGGGTGCGAAACGTCGCCGTCTGTAACCCATTACAGCAGCTGGAAGCCGACCCCAACGGTGGATGTGTTGAAAAACTGTGCCCCCGAGTGCTCAAAAGAAGGTCCTTCAAGACATCCTTCGATGAGTTTGGCGTGAAAGCGCAAGTCGCTCAAATAATTCTCACAGACACACTGCAACATCTTGTACAGAATCTTCATAGCAGATTGGAAACTATCGCAGTTATAAAGACGGGAGGGTACTTAATGTTGGTGGAAAGTGTCCCAAGACTTTTGACCCACCTACATCGATTGTTCTAATATAAAACAACCTTGAGCCGGTCACTTCTGCGAATCGCCTGAGGCGAACTTCTTGACAGAAAAGTTGGGTTGAGGCAGCGTGGCTGGCCTTGCTGTATTTACAGCTCATTATATCAGCTAATCTCCAGATTACAGCATGTTGAGTCCACACGAGCCACTAAACTCCGGGGTGGGGGGGAACCACTGCGACGCTCCCGCCTGCGGGATTTGTCCCTTAATCTGGACCCCAGAATCCCACCCACCCATCATTTTCACATCTGGACTGTGCAGGATTTACTGTTGTAATCCTTCACTTTAGAACTATTTTATTATACCTCGTCGGGCTTTTAATTATGAAAATGCAGCTTTGGTGTGGAAGTAATTACAGATCCTTGTCCTATTAGTCTCTGCTAAGTAATTAAGGTGGGGCATATTCCGTTTTTTCTCAGTCTTTTGGGCAAGATTGAACACTTTTGGTCGACACTTCAGAAAAGGGGACATAAAAATGGCATGTCTTTCGAAGAATGATGTTCAGGTTGCACATGAGGCCGGCAAGAGAAGGGAAGCGAAGGGAAGGGCAAAAGGGTTAACACCACTTGCTGCGGCAGATGTCACAAAGCACGCTGAAAAAAAAAAATGTCCGATTAACACAAAGGGGGCACTTTGACAAATCCCGATTATGGGAGCACTTTCCTTTATTAAACTCAGCCCCGGCGCTGCACTCTTTGTGAGGGCGGATTAAAAGCAGGTAGACACCATTGTCTGTCCAAACAATCCCCATATAAACCAAACCGCCAGCTTACGAGTCGCTGGTAACAGTTCTCAGTCTTCATCATCGTCATCATCATCATCATCATCCTCCTCTCAGTCGAGATGCTGTGATTGGATTTAGGGCACTTCCAGTCCGGAGGGGGGAGAAGAACAGAGAACTAGAGCGTGTTTACATATGTGATGATCGTGGATAAGTTGGGTGGCATATGGAGCGAGCGCGACATCTGGCCTCCATCAGGACCGTGCACTGTACCAGTTTTGACCTTTGCATTGATGCATGGTAACATCTGGAATGCTTCTCATACATGTTTGAAGACCTGTACAGTTTATAGTCAGCGGTGCACATACAGTAGGAGGTGCCTCGGAATGGTTGGTGTCATCAAAGATCAAATGCAAACCAAAGGACAACATCGGCTATTGGTCCAAAATGCTGCAGCTCGCCTCCTAACTGGAACCCGTAGGAGGGAGCACATAACTCCTGTTTTAGCTCATAATTCTCACAGCATCAGTTCCTGGCCGATGACGACATCAAGATGACCATGACAAAGCAGCTGCGGTGGATCCCGGAAGAATCATTCCAGGAAGGGTGTGACAGAGAAGACTGGGAAAGTGCTTTAAACTCCATATTTGTTCAAGGGCAAGACTTGCCCCTGGGTTCCGTCTTAAGGAAGCAAGGCATTTCCTTTCACACCTATGCAAATGTCAGATCTATCTCCCACTAAGCAAAATGGAGGCTTTATCCTTCAAGCCACTTTTGTCCTGTCTGGAGGAAATCAAAGCCTGGATGGCACTCAACTTCTTTGACTTCAACAAAAAGAAAACAGAATGGTGTTTGATCCCAGGGCCCTTGAACATCTCACCATGTTGGCTCAGGCCCCCTGGCCTCTTATCTAAAGCCAACAGTCTTGAATTTGGGTTTGAAATTGAACATTTATTTTAAATTGGACCGGCAATTGGTGCAGTGTTTTTAAATCTTAGGCAGCTGTTTAAAGGAAGACATTGTTTTACTGTTTTATGTATTTGTCTTATTTTAACTTTATGTACAGCATATTGTATGCAGCTGTCATTGTTTTGAAAGTCCTCCATGAGTAAAGTTGAGTTCACAAATACTCTCTGGTTTTCATGTCGGTTACACCTCGAACATGTATTGTTATAGTCTTCACAGACAAAACTCAACTCTGAAAATGAGCGTAGACATTCAGCATTATTTGATGATTCGTTTGTCTGCTTCCTAATGTGAAAGCGACCATTCCAGGGTGAGGTGCCTTCCAACTGAGTTTGGTACCCCAGCAATTTACCTCTGTTGGCTCAAAAGAACAATAATAATTTTTGGCATTGTCTCTGCTTGCTGTGCTCCCATAATACCTCGCGCTCGCAATAACGTGATCAACGTGTGGCCAGCTGCTCTCGAGCATGAATAGAGAGCACAAAGGCGCGGCATATGCCAAAGGATCAAATATTGTTATCCTCATGGAAGTTGTGTTGTTTCTGAAATTGAAAGAGCATTAGGTCCCACTTTTTCTCCCGGCCGTGTAAACTGCTCACCTCAATAATTGTATCAGTCATAAGAAGCTTATTGTAATTACAATATTGTCCTGTCCTCATACACGGGCGCACAACTCACTCAACAAATTAAACAGAACATGTTCAAAGAGAAGCCATGGCGGGATTAATATGTAAGTCTCCTACATTTAATATTTACGACATAGTCGCACAATTAATCAGACAATGTGTTTTGTCTAATACCTACGGCTATCATCACTCCACGGACATGACTAGAAATTTTGACCCAAATAGCATCCAGAGGCTGCTGGTTGCTGTATAATTTTATTTTTTTAAAGGTCATATATTGGTCAAACCATCGTCAAAGCACATATTGTAACTCAAAATGTGTTTTGATTTTCATTTGGCTGTGTGTGTGTGTGTGTGTGTGTGTGTGTGTGTGTGTGTGTGTGTGTGTGTGTGTGTGTGTGTGTGTGTGTGTGTGTGTGTGTGTGTGTTACCCATTGATGGAGCAGAACATATCTGATTCTGGCCATTGAACAGAAAATGGAACTATTTTTTTTTGACTGAGGAAAGTACAGTAGGAAATTGTCTTTTTCCTGGCTTCTCAGTACAATATGTGCGACAATTATAATAAATAAAGGATACAGAGACCGGAAGAGTCGAAGAAAGGCATAAAAGTGGACATCCTTGGAAATAACCCCCAAAAAACATAAATAAATGGATGGCTGTGAATTTTACCCCAATAGAGAAGAGCACGTTTTTGAAACACCGAATGGGTGAACAAATAAAAGTTTAGAGAAGGTCAAATGAAGTTCACCTGTAAAGGTTTGAATGATTTTAGGGTCCTGAAATTTCCCCCAAAAGCCCAACATCCCAAACACTTTATCAGTAGTGTACAGTACACACACACACATAGTACTAAACCATTACAAAGATATGAGTTACATGTGTTTAATATAGAAATGCAAGTGAACATTGACTTGTTGATATGAATTTTGTTTGATGACATTTGATTTGTTGTTGTTGTTGGGTTTTTTAAAATATATAAGACACAGACAGTCCTACAATACGAGATTTTGAGGCTCCTTGTTTATTTGAATAAGGGCAGATGCCCCAATTTGGACAAATGAAAACCAATCTCCAATGCCCAGCATCACAGTGTTTATAGCTAATGCTAGCTGAAACAGCGTGCAATTAATTAACTTGAGCAGCAGTGTTAGGACACATAATTGGGTAGTACATGAAGGCACGCCCGTTCCCACCATACTCTGCATTTTTTTCTTTTGATTGTTTTTTTTTGTTTTTTTTAAACAAACAAATCAACTGTCAAAGTAATTATGGCATGGAGTTAGCATTGGTTCGTGATGATCGATCCATGCTGTGACCTAAGCTGCGCACATATTCAAAGGAAATTGCATACAGTCGTAGGAAATAGTAACTGAAAACAAATACTACATTGGTATAGAGATTAGATTATAGGTATAGTAGATTTTTCAGGTATTTGTAATTGAATACTTTTTTACTGAACCGAACTTATTTACTGAACTGAACATGAACTAGGAATATTAACGACAATGGCAATGGTAATTTTCCGAGTAATTTATTTGTATTTTTTTTGGTTTCCTTTCTGTTGTTCAGTGTATTATTTTTTTGTTTTGTGGAATAATTATATATAATAATAATATTTTTTTTGTTTTGTGGAATAATTGCACTTTTTCAAAATTTCATTTTCCCCCATGCCCAAAACTGAAAAAAAATTTAAAACTGAAAAAACAATTCCATATAACAAAAAAATCTGGAAAAACTGAAAAATATTAAGAAAAACAGACTCCTACCCCCCCCCGTCCCCGCCCAAAAAAAAAACCAACAGAAAAAAATATTCTCACAATCAGAAATAAAATTCCCAAAACAGAAAAAAATAACTCTGAACAAAAAAAAAAGGGGGGGGGGTTCCCCTCCGGAAAACCAGGAAAAAAAACATAAAACCTGACAAAAATAACATAAACGGAAACAAAGAATCGTCCAAAAAAGCCCTACAATTAGTTTTCAACGTGGATTTTTCAATACGCTTCTCTGCATGTCAGTATGTTCTTACTCTTTTGATTATGTTAACGTTTATTCAACTACAGAAATTACATCAGTACGATTTTAATTTCTTTTGCACGTGTGCGTGTATAATCTGTTTATAGTGCTTTCATAAGCTTTACATTTCTATCACATACATCACTGGACGTGTGTCTCTTCGTGTTATTTCAATAAAATGCACACGTTTGCACTCGGAACCGGAAATATATTTGTCTTTCGGTCAAGAGACGTTCAGAGCCACTGTCAAAATCAGCCAAACGAGACTCTCCCCAAGCGCAGCGAAGATGCTCCATCAGATCAGGAAGGGGTTAAAAATGAACTGGAGGAGGCGCAGCGGCAACAGCAGTCAACTCGCTAGCTTGGGTGGAGTGGAATGTTGACATGAAGAGCCGCAAATTAGCCGAGCAGACGGCTCTTGCGTGAAAAAAAAAGCAAGCGCAAAAAATAGCGTCCCAAGTGTCCTAAATTCGTAGTAATAACCGCTATAGCTAAGATGAGCGAAGTGAGCGAGGAGTCGTTGCTGGATTACTTCTACTCCACTGCTGGCAGCTCAGGCAAAGTGAGAAATGCAGACATACTGAAGACCTTTAAGCCTTTTATTGGTCACACTGATGTGCAGTTGCGTGGTAAGTGGCATGGTGGTCTAGTTGAGTTAGCAAAACATGACTAGCACGGCAGAGATCATACTGTATCTCCCGTCAGTGTCAAAAACAGTTGTCACATCTATTCTGTTCAGTTTGCAGGTTTATGTTAAAAGTATTACTCATCTTGTCTTTACTCGCTCTTTTGTTTAGTTAATTAAGACAAAAAAAGTACATGAATAAAACTTCCATGGAGAAGAATCGCTACTGTGTCGTTTCCTCCCACATGAAGGGTACTTGAACCCCTCCGCAGTTGCTGAGATGTACGGGAGGGGCTACGTCGTGACGTCATCTCCCGCCTTGGGCCAAATCATACTCTGAGTAGTGGTACCAGTACAGAAATGGTTGTGTCAAACTGGCTAGTAAAAGTTGAAGTACTGATTTCTCTCTTTTACTTAAAAAAAAAAGCACCAACTAAAAATGTTGTTGGGCAGAGAACTACAAAGCTCTTTTTAAGAACTATTAAAAAAAAAAAAATCCTACTCATGTCCTCTTTATTACATATAATATTATCAAATAGTACTCACTAAAAGGTGTGTCCTAACATTAAGTTTGCCTGTTAAATTAAAGGTTTGCAAATACAACTTTATATGAAACTAATTGAAGCTACAGTGTACTTTAGTGAATAAAGGTTAAATCTCTTATTTGTCAAAAGAAGCTACATTGTGATAGCATTAACCAATAGGGACGTGACAACGAAATTAAACACTTTTTTCCACCCCAGCAAGAATGCAATGTCACCAGAAAAAGCTGGAATAAAAGACCAAAACATTTTGTCAAAATGTTAAGAATTAAATTTCTGACATTGTAAAGGCTTCGAAAAGTGGGCGAAAATGTAGCTAACTTTCGCCATTGTTACAATTGAACTGTCTGTGACTGAGTGTCTGTCTGAAGCGGTGTGCAGCTGTTTTGGGACGAGCAAAGAGAAGCATTTTGAGAAGGCTGCAATCTTTCACTGCCATCTTTCTGTTACTGATGCCCAAAAGAGACAAACTCAGCGAGCATAGTTCCTCAATGTGATGACTACAGCAGGTGTAACAAATGCCATGCACTTACTCTGTCACTTAAAGAAATGCTAGAAGTCGTTTGCGAAGCCATTTTGCACGCACCTCTGCTGAATAAAGTGATGGTACGATTGCATAGTATGGTCTCTTTGAGGCGCCGTACTGTACATGCTTTGAAATGCATGCACTCCGAACTAGGTTGATGCAGTCAGACCGAATGCAAAAAAGCTGCCAAAATTGTGAGAAAATAGGATGGTAGCTGGACAGGAATGCACTTACAGTACATTTTACAGTTAGGAATGTAAAGTGATTAAATTAACTTGTTTGTTTATTACCCTCCAGAACTGTTGTAAGAATGATATGCTAACAGCAGTGGTTATCCAAGACTGTTTCACAATTCGCTTTCCCTATATTTTTTTAATCTGGGGCTGAAAGGCAAACATGTCAAGCTTGCCAAACAAATGTTGAACCAGGGTGACCTTGCGCTTTTGCCACATGTGGTCCAGATGTGACGTCAGTGCCATCTGACGTGGCCGACCGGTGATTAGAGAAATGCTTCCCACCACGTAGTGAAATGTCTGCCCGAGCATGTGGTTAGCCTCTTCTCGTGTTGTAAATTTGATGATTGTATTTTAATCACAATTAAGTCCACACGCATGACAGGATTTAGACCTCTAATAAGACTGTGTGTGTGTGTGTGTGTGTGTGTGTGTGTGTGTGTGTGTGTGTGTGTGTGTGTGTGTGTGTGTGTGTGTGGCGGGGTTCGCTCAGATGTGAAAAGTGGGGCATGTTGGGAAATGAAGGAACTGGGGGCAGCGGCGCATGGATATTTAGTTTTCGGTCAATAGATAACTGGACATGTGACTTGCTGTCAGAAGCATGTAATGTTTGTGTGAAACACACGTGTGCCGCTGCTTCCTGTTGTTGTGAATCACCACCAGTGAGTATCCTTTGTGTCCACACTGGAAAGAGGAAACTCCTTTATTGTCCACGTAGGAATGCACACAAATATTTTCCGAGCGATCTCACAGCTAACCAATGGTCCAATATTTGGATATGAGTCTTGACCCGCCGGATGTTTGTTCATTTGAAAATGTCCTTTTGGAGGGGGGGCAACATGGCCACACTGCCCCACTAGCTGTCTGTCTGTCTCGTTAGCTAGCTGTTGCTCTTCGAAACAAACTACAAAGCAAATCTTTAAGATATAGAAATATGACCTTATTTAGACACACATTTGATCAAAGTTACACATGACTGTCAACGCTCTTTAACAGTCGCAATTTGATACATCATACCCAACTAACACTGCTAAGGGTCAAATAAAACGTGATCTCGAGTGGCTTGGTCTGGATACATGATACTCCAGGGCTGAAAATTAGTCCCATTTCAGCCCTGGTATCTGCTATAGTATGTTGTTAGTAGAATGTCTTTATCAATATTTTTTTATGTCTGGACCTGATTTCTTCCACCAGCTTCACAAAGTGCTTATATAATGTTATTATGTAACATTGTGGGTTGTGGATACACTAAAGTTAGCCAGAATGAGATGGGTTTTTTTCATGTCCTTGCAGCTAAATACAGAGAAGAATTCAAGGTCATTATTGACCGAATTGCTGTGGTCAAGTCCGAAAACGTGAGTACTCTTGCCGTGATGAAGTGTTTGCTTGATCTGTTCATTATTTTTTTTTCTAATGTTCATCCCTTTATTAAAAAAAAAATGCACATTACTGCATTTCAAATTTACAGCGCAAAAATGCACAAACCTTAAATAGATTATGATTCAGCTACTGTTTTGGTCCCATATCAAAATAGCTGTTCATTTAATTTGATAGTCGATTCATCGATTGCTCCACCTCTGTACACACCTGAAATGTTTTTTAAGCTAATATTTGCCATTATTATGACTATAGTCATAATAACAGTACAGTAGTCATACTGTGCTATCAGTCAATTGCAGCGGTGGTGTTTAACTGCACTGCTCATTTCTACTTTTTCAACTCCTCTCATGGCCTCTGTTGTTTGTCTATTGCAGGGAGAGAAGTATCTTTTCCTCAAGAAGAAATACAGACAGCTGCTGCAAGCGCGAGACAAAGACAAAACTGACCTGCCTGATGTGGACGGGCAGAGACATTTGAGTTCCACCGCAGTGCCAGCAACAGCACAATGGGAGGTAACAGACACCTCCCCTCGTGCCCCCCAGCAGAGGGAATGTCGGGATGAGCTGATTTCATGCAGCGAGCCAGACAGTGCTACAGAGGTGAATTGAAAATGATTCTTTTCTATGTTACGTTGGTCCTCAAAGAAAGTCCGCATCCTCAATTTGTCTGAGTCAAATAGGGGATGCTTGGGGTCGTTCAGACTAGTAGACTAGCCGACTTGTTGACTTTGCTACTCCACAATGATGTATTGAGCATGACGTCGACTTGTCACTAATCACGTTTTTGGCTTGAGGAGGATGTCGAGTCCCTTGCCGCAACAGCTGGCGTGCTTTTAGTGTGAAGGCTTAATTTTATAAGTGTTGCAGAGCAAACTGAGAGGGTTTGCATTGTGAAATTATCTGCCTTGCCATCTGTTTGAACTCTTTGATACACAATACAACACAAACTAAAGTTGACGGAGAACGGGGCATCATTCCATCACACGCAAAGAGGTCCGTGATTATGCCACAAATTCCCACCACACAGAAGAGGTTTCCCTATTTGGCCAAGTTGTGTAAACATTTCCTGGCTGTCCCAGCGGCAGTAACATTGAGTGAAATTATTATTTCTTTTTTTTTTCTCTCAAGCTGGAATTACCCTAACATGACATCCACTGAGTCTTTACCCAGTCCATGTCCATGCATTTGACAAATACATAGCTTGAGGGAGGATGTGTTGCCATTTATTTGGTAAACTGTTTGCTCTCTGCTGAGCTACGCAAAGCACATTTATCGAATGTGGCGTAATATCTTGTTAAAGCTTTTTTTTTTTTCTGAGGGATCAGATGTGAAATTGTACGCCACATTAGAAGTTTGAAAGAAAATCCGTCATTCTCCTCTTTTTGGTGTTTTTAGCGCTTGTTTGCTTCAACAGTTTGAGAGAGGACTTCTAACTGTTTCTGAGTACTGCATTTGCAGTTTAAAATAATACTGGTCACATCACTGATTTCATCGTGTCAGAAATTGTCCAATTTTTATACTCAGGATGAACCCTGCAACGTACTCTCTTGACTGGGTTAAATACCAGCAGTACCACCATCATCTACCAGGTGGCCCCAAATTAATTGGCTGTGTTATTTAAAAAACTTTTTTTTTGAAGTCCCAGAGGCCTGACTGAGTGAGTGTAGGAAGGGCAGTGGGAGGCAAAGGGAGCCACAATCTGCATTTAAATTAATCCTCCTGTTAATATGATAAGCAGCAACATGTTGGACCTCATTAGAAAGATCCTGTTAAAAGAGATTCACACACATTCACCGCAAAGATATACAGTCTGGACCTCCTCTTAATGGAGGAGCCTCTGTGTGTGTGTGTGTGTGTGTGTGTGTGTGTGTGTGTGTGTGTGTGTGTGTGTGTGTGTGTGATCATATTAAATGTGTTTGTTTATCATATTAGTCAGAACATTGTGCTCTCTTTATGACAGCCATTATTGACCACTGGCTATCCAGAACAACAAAGGCTGTAAATTTCTCCCTCACTGGATTATCATTTCTGGTCCTTTTACTGTAAGGCCACATTGCCATTAGAACTGTCTTTTAATTTTATTTCTTTTCCATTGTAGTTCACACAAGTCAATCCTCATGCATAAATGTAATTGATCGTAATCTAGAGTGAATGTGGTCAACTAATTAAGTCTCTGTTTTTTTTATTTTTATTTAGATGACAGAAATCACTGTAAAATTACATATTTATTCTGAAGAAAATCTATTGTATGCCAGCTATTTGGACAATTAACTCTTGAAAGGCTAACTAGAAGGTTCTAATCTAACCTATGACCCAAAATGTCTTACTATTCTATTACAAAGGTGTATAACAAATCAAAGTCCAGTGTACTGGTTTTTGTAGAGAAATAGGACCATGTAAATAGCAGTAAAAGCAATACAGCTGGCAACAAGTGCCCACAGTCAGAGTTTATGCCACATATTTATGTCTCTTTTAATCCACAAATAAAAAGGCTTTGATGCAACACATTGTATGATTTAGTAATATGCTACACCAAAAACATGAAACAGTCATGTTTAGTTTGTTAGATTTGTTGACACAGTTCTTTTATTTCATAAAACATGTTGTCTTCAATCAGTAAACAAATATGACAAATGCAGGCACACTGGAATTTTAAAAACAAGCTGCTGGAAACATAGTGCGTTTTTATTGTAGTTCATTGTTCTGCTAAGTGTAGAACTATCGCAATTCACTGTCACCATCAAATAGCCAAATAATCAAATGAAACACGTTAAGCACAAAAGTCTCTCAAACAACTGTCGAAAAAGCCACCCCCCCATTACTTTTAATAAAACAAGTACTTACAACTCTGGATAATAAACATTGTTCTAAGCAATAAAAGTGGAATGTTTCTAAACTGAGTTCTGTATAAATTCTACCAACATAGAAAAGGTGGCATCAAAGTCAAAGTGGCAATTTTCCAGCTTTTGAAGTCTTGGTGCCATAGGAGGGATGGAACTCTTACTTGTGATTGCTAGCCAATTTATATTGGAAGTGTTTTTTTTTTTTTTGAAAGGGTTACACTTCAGGCGTGTTGGTTTATATTCATAGTTAAGTGGATTGTTAGTCATTACCCTTCGTGTGTGAAACGTCTCGCTGTCTGACACCCTTCGGTAAGCAGCAGGATGACATCAAGCCAGCATCGCGTGTGTGTGTGTGCGTGTGTGTGTGTGTGTGTGTGTTTCTGTGTGTGTGTTTCTGTGTGTGTGTGCTGTTGGTTATGGCTGATTGTGTCATACTTTTAGTCATCTTTGACTTTTGTCTAACTTGCAGTGTGAGTCTGAGCAGGACGAGGAGTCGACGGGTAGCATGGGTTCTGCTGCAGTTGCTGTAAGTCCATTGTCACAACTTTTTCTCATTCTTATTGTAGAACTGCTATGTCAAATGTGACACCGTGGTTATTTGAGCTGTCTTACTTTTGAGTTTGGGTTAGATCTTGAGAGAAAAATGTTTCAAGACAAAAATTGACAAATGATCCATTTTTTTTCTCCGTTCCAGCTGGACCCTTTAGAAAAAGAGTGGATCTACTTTGCAGCTGGCGCTCGAGTTCCTGACCTCTGTCAGCTGCTTCGACAGGACCCATCACTTGCCAACAAGAAGGTATCGTTCATATCATAAAAGAAAAGTTTGATGTCAACCTGTTTGACTACCACTGAACCTGGTTGAGAATAAATTATAATAGCCAGATGACAATCCATGTTTCAAACCGACTTCCATGTTACTAAACAAAATAATCCAAAGCAAAATAAATTAATAAATAAATAATTTAAGGATGATATTGTGAACCGCACCCTTGAGAAATTATCATAGTTAGCTAGCTTGTTGTACAAATGGCAACAGTAGACAAATTCACGATAATGAAAAGCGAGTTAGCAAGTCAGTGCAGGTCAAACCTAATTGGCTACTTGTTGTTCAAATTTAGCAAGCTTTCTTTTTGTTTGTTTGTTTGTTGAATATACTGTATAAAGAGACAATAGAAATTTTGCGGGAACGAAAGGGAAGTAAAATTGAAATGAAACCTAAATTGTTTTGTCTTTTTCATTGTTCAAAGCTATGTACAGTAGCAATCAGGTATAAATATTTAGCCACTTACGGCTATATACTTTATATGATGTTGCCTCAAGGGGAATTTCAGTTGGAGCAGGCCACATTGTGAATGAAACAGAGTAAATAAAACCAATGTTGTGTCAATACTTGGCTAACATTTTCTCTTATGTTTTGTATCCAAACAGGACTTCACATCGGTGAGTATTTGATCGCATGCTGTCAAGAAATTATACTACTTTATAATACTTTGCAACCAGCCCCTCATAATTCGCAGAGCACAACAAAAAGTCATTTATGGATATGTTCCCGAATGTAATTATTCCGACTCTAATTATTGTGGTGACTTGGATGATATGTAGCATGTACGCAGTCTCTCCTCTCTTTCCTCAATTGCTAGGTCAACAACTTGACACGTCACCAAGAAGGAGAGGTTATTACAATTCATGAACTGATCAATTAAAAACATAATGCAAAACTACATTCAAATTAAAGAAAAAATATTTGAACTTTCTGGAAAGTATTGAAACTCTGTTCGGTTCTACAAAGATTTTACTCCTTAATTTTTTGATAATACTGTAACAGAGAAAGGTTAATAGTCATGGGTGCACATAAGATGTGCACAGGTGTGCTTGAGCACTAAATATATTGAGATGCGCACCAGAGATTCTTGCTCAGTCCGATTCGGGCTATTTCCATGCTCAGAGTGAATTGCTTGCGGCTCGACGGACAGTCCAGTAAATGAACGTTTCCTGAAATGGCTCGCTGTTATCGTGCTAAAAACTTTTCGCAAACTGGACCGCTAATAAGAGAGAAAGCGAGTTCCATAACGCTAACTATGGGCATTGAATACTTCGGAGCGTCCTGTGGCTGGCTTCAAAAGTTCGAAGCACGACATCAGCTGAGCAACGCTTTCTTGTGTGGTGATCGAGGGGAGGTCGAGTTCGAGACAGTGAGTGAGTGGAAAGAAAGCCACCAGGTCTTTTACTCGTCTCATTTTGGAGCAAATAGTCCTACCTTTGTTATATTTTCTCATATACTGTACCTATACTGTATGCCGCAGTTTTTGGACAATATATTGTTGCACTTTGTTGCTTGTGTTGTCACCAATGTATGTTGTTAACATACCGTACTTGGACGTTCATACCGGACATATGCCATAGTTATCTCACTGTTCTCATGAAAAAAAGTATGGTAATACTTGAATGCTTTTGTTCTGTCGATGTTTGGTATGGACTGTCAACATATACGTTTTTTTATATGTACCATATGTTGTGCTGACCCGGCCCACCTGTCAAATTTAGAAATCAATGTGGCCCCCGAGCTAAAAAGTTTGCCCACCCCTGAAATAGAACCAATGTTGTGTCAATACTTGGCTAACATTTTCTCTTATGTTTTGTATCCAAACAGGACTTCACATCGGTGAGTATTTGATCGCATGCTGTCAAGAAATTATACTACTTTATAATACTTTGCAACCAGCCCCTCATAATTCGCAGAGCACAACAAAAAGTCATTTATGGATATGTTCCCGAAAGGAATGTATTTGTAATTATTCCGACTCTAATTATTGTGGTGACTTGGATGATATGTAGCATGTACGCAGTCTCTCCTCTCTTTCCTCAATTGCTAGGTCAACAACTTGACACGTCACCAAGAAGGAGAGGTTATTACAATTCATGAACTGATCAATTAAAAACATAATGCAAAACTACATTCAAATTAAAGAAAAAATATTTGAACTTTCTGGAAAGTATTGAAACTCTGTTCGGTTCTACAAAGATTTTACTCCTTAATTTTTTTGATAATACTGTAACAGAGAAAGGTTAATAGTCATGGGTGCACATAAGATGTGCACAGGTGTGCTTGAGCACTAAATATATTGAGATGCGCACCAGATTTGACTGCGTCATAGCACGCGAACGTCACTTTAGACACTCTGATGTTATTTTCAGTTGACAGCAAGTCTCAAAATGGCCGCCTCCTGGGGTGGAAAAATTGGGTGGATTTTGCCACATAATTCATATTCCATAAATTATTAAACAGAATGCCATGTTTAGGCTAGTTGGGGCGCATAGAACATATAGAGAAAATGTATTATTCGACGTGCCCTTTAACAAGTTACTTTAAACCATTCCCTGTACACTTAATAAAAGTTTTCTTGTTGCAACACTCTTACAACTTTCTTCTATTTCTATTCTTTCCTAATGAAAAGAATGGAATGTGAAAGAATGGATTATGCTCAATTTTAGAGCTTCCGCTGTACCTCATAACCAGTCAAATGATTGTGTGACAAATTATCATGTAAGAGTCACACAAAATAAAAGAAAAATCTACGATGACGTCAAAACAACTTCCTTACAAATTCACGACACTGTAAGACTCTCTTAAACCTAAATTGAATGGAACCGTAGAATGATGTAAGCGCGAATACTTTGATGTCTTTTACAATTTACTGTTTTAAATGTGTTCAAACATGAAAACTAGTTGTGGAGTAATATTTTTGCAGTGTGTCGTAGGTTTTATATGTTGGTAATTTCAATTCTTGCTGTGTCTGTTTTCCTCTCCTCATGCCCTTGATTATCACCGTATTCATCAGGGGGTAAGTTTCTTTTCTCGTGAACTATTTATGCCTCTCAAGTTCTTCCTCTATTTATTAATGATTTCCTCTGGAATACAGTACTAGTGGGAACACGATGCTTGCCTGCCCTCAGACCTGTGATCTGCCTGTGTAACTTTCATATGGTCATTCTGAGTTTTTTTTTTATTTTTATTCCCCCCTCTTAATGGAATTCCGAGAAGGCAGTGTTAAAACATCCAGATCATGCATTTCAAAGGTCCACTATCAGAAGGATTATGAAAGATAGCTTTTTAGCTCCTGTGCCCCCCTCCCCACCCCTTGACAACCCAAATCCTTTTATTTGTCTCCCTGTGCGCTTAAGAGATTTGAGCTCATGTTTGTTGTCCCTCCCCAATGTCACAGTTCTCACACTGTCCTGCAGTCACCGCGGACCACCTTCTAAGCCACCGCAGTCCCCTCCCAGACAAGATAGCACGACCGCCATTGAAGTGCACGGAGATGAAGGGGGGGGGTCATGGATTAAGGAGAGTCTTAATTCCCCACAAAGACTTCACCTATTTAAAGATAATCTGAAAGTAATAGAGCAGGCTGGGATTAATTGTACAACAATGTCGCTTGTGTCCCTGGGAAGGTGCTAAGTCCCCTTTGCTTCGCTTTGATGTTCCCTTTTAGCTTCCTGGTTTGTAGAGAGGAAGATGCTTTTTCCACCCACAGGTAGCATCCACACTATGTAGTAGCAAAAGAGGTCACATGACTCGTGAGAACCAGATCAGAATGTTTTTTTTTTTGAAGAATTAAGAGTTTCCCGTTGATGACCAAATCTTTATTTTGCGATGGGGTGATATATTTTTTTTCTTAAAGTTTGCTGGTAAACTTGTTTGAAAGCACCCTCATGTTATTTCTTTATGTCTCTGCTCCCATTATGACGTGGACCCCTCACCCTGCTGGGACCCGCTCTTTCTTCCGTGCCACAGTTTGTAAGTACATCATCTGCCCATCACTCCTCTTCATCTTCCTCCTTGCGTTGAACCTTTTTAGCGGGACTCGTCGCGCGGGGGAGGGTGTCCCATAGCCATCCTTCAAGTGTCCATCCTTCAAGTGTTCAGGCAGACGAGAGGCTGGGTGGGGGGTTCCCGGACCCCAAAACGAGTGACGCAGGAAGGGGAGACGCTGTATCCTGTTCAGGCTCGTCAGTCACTCTTTCCCACTAGGAGACCTCCTGACAAACTTTGGTGCTTTGGCCAATCAGTCCCGTGTTGTGACAGCGGGCCGACAATAGAGATGGCAATCCTAGATTCAGACTGTAGCTATGGCGCTCTGTCTCCTGTGTAACTCCTAGAACATTAGAGGACTCCTGTTGTTTCAAAATCCCAAACAATAGCACCACAGAGGGATCAAACCTGGTACGGAGGGCCTTGGTGGGGTAGAATGATCGCCTTTCAACCTTAATTTGTCCCTTGTCACCATGGCGAGTTGTTCTTGAGCAAGATACAGAATCACTGTTCGCTCCTGGTGCTGCGTCATCGGTGTGTGAATGAGCTGTTACTTTCCCATCGTGACTACATATTCCATCAATCGTTGTGTGAGTGGAGTCACAGTGGAAGTGAGCTTTGAAGAACTTGAAAAGCGCTGTCCAAGTGAAGCCTGATGACTTCTCCCAAGGCCACACTTTTGGCAAAAGTGGTACCAGAATAGCACTCACTGGATTATGTTTGCAAGTTAGGACTGTTAAAATATGACAAAGCTGTGATGCGTTTGTTGTGTGACTATATTGTGGTGGGCTTTGGAGCCAGGGTGTCACGATTCAAGTCCCACTGCGGGCAGATGTCAAAATGGCACCAAATTGTAAAAGGGATGCTCGTCTGTTCCTTGACTACTATCGTGTGCTTTTTGTGATATCAGAAAGTTTGGTATTTTCTTCTCCTTCAGTTATATGGCGCTATATTTTCGTGCCTGTGATCGCTTCAGCAAAAAACAAAAATAAACAAAAACAGTTACAAATTGTGTTGTTTTAGCTGTTTGCTCTGTTTGCGCTTTGAAGCAAACGTGAACATGTTTTTCAAAGGGGATGTTTCTGGACTTAAGGACACCAGTATTGTTGCTTTTTGGTTTTCAAAATACAGATTTCAGAAAGCCCATGTAGAGTTGGATGGTCTCATCTTTACATCACGTTTCCAAAATATACCGTATAGAAACAAAATGGAAAAAAAAAACATTTTTTTTCCTTACGAGGTTGGTTCCCTGTAACAGTAATAAAAAAACACTTCTTGAATGGTGAACATAATTATTCTGCAGCAAAGTAGTTCTGTAGTAGTATTCCCATGGCACACGTTCAAAGCGCATGTCGCCGACCTGAAAGAGAATACTCTCGTAGAATAACATCACGTCGGCCCCGGATAACCTGACCTGATGAATTCCTTCAAGTCCTTCAAAGAACTTCCATCGAGTCTCCGTCCGGCGGGCTTTATGCACATCTGAAGTTATTTACACTTGTCCAAAAATAATAAGTCATTTTGATGTGGCTTGTGTATGCTTTCCCGTGTTAAGGGTCCGATTCCGACAGGATGGTTGCGGTTATTTAGCTGACACCTGTTGATAGCTCATAATTACACGCCCTAAAGAGTGATGGAAAAACATAAAGAGATCACAGTCCAACAGGTGGATGTGTGTGTTTTTTTTCCCCGCCACAGACTTGCCTCTCTTATTTTCACATTGCATGCCAACATGTGGGCGTACCTTTGTAAAGGCTCGTTATTGCGCTTTGACGTGTGCTGACAGTCATGTCTGGGTGGGGCTCCCCTTTGCGGGTCACACTAACATCATCAATCTTGCCCGCCGTGACAGGTGGCCGGCCCCCACCTACCGTGCGCACAGCGCTGTGTTATTTTGTAATTAGGCTCCGCTGGATGGCAGGAAACCATCCCTCCATTCATCTTCTCCCCTCTCGAGCGCAGCTGGTTTAACTGGCGGCCAATAAGAAACCACGATGACAACTTTGTAGCCGCACCGCATGCATCTTGGCGCGCGAAGTTTCTTAACATCATGACAGAGAAGCGCCTCATATAAAGGAGTCGGCCTGTGTGTGTGCGACCACCAAAGTCACCCAGGCGTGCGTTTATGGGGCTCGATTTCTGCACTGGGGTCACGTGGGAACAGAGAACGGCCTGAAAATGTTCCCACCAAGGTTATTGTACTTCACAAAAATGCAATGAAATAACCAGAAGTAAAATTGGAGTAAAAAAAAAAAAAAAAAAATCAAGCCTGGCTCTTCAAAAAATACAGCAAAAACTTCCACAATACTTATTGGGGCTTTTTAAAACTTTTGACTAATTCCCTGTACAAAAAAAGAAAAGCTTAAGACGAATCAAAACTAAACCAAAATAATGCATTTTTGAGAAAATATAAATAACCCATCCCACTATAAAAAAAAAAAAAATCACGACTGATTGAATTTGAAAAACAGAAGTCAAAGCGCAATGAAAACTAACAATAACAAAGGATCCCAAACTATAATAAACCTGGTTCAAATGTCCAAAAACTTGTAAATGAAAAAAGAGGGTATCAGCGCGAATGACACACGGCCATATTGGATTGCTCTATGTCCAAAATGATCTCCTTGAGCGCATCATTTGAGGACTTTTTGTTGTTTTCCCCAGACTGCTCTGCACTGGGCCGCCAAACACGGCAACGAGGACATGGCAACTCTGATCGCAAATGCAGGTGCTGATGTCAACACCAAATCGGTGAGTTTCTTTTCCCTCCTCATCATTGTTAGGTTGCCGGCAAGATTAAAAAAACATTTTTTTGCTGCTTTTTAGTACATGAGGGATCACAATCAAAAGATCCTGTGGAATTTTTCTTATTACGTTACTCCTTTGCAGTCCAATCATTGATCTCTTCATCTCGCTCTCTCTCACTTTTACAGCATGTGAGTATCCTGTCGTGTGGCACAGCATATGTCTGCGGACAGGCTGGCGTCTCCGTGACGTTGCGCTCCTCTGCGATCTTAGCGAAGATCCAGCTGTGAAAATGCACGATGGGAGAGCGGGCACTCGGATAATAAATCATCACATCATGTCATGTTAATTGTCTCCCATAACAGGGCGTCCGTGTCCCAGCATGCACTGCTCTGAAACGATGCAATTTTCGACCAATTACCTGGCAATTATGTTTTTATCATTATTTGGTGTTTCCACAAGCTTTTCTAATTTGTATTTTCTTTCCTTGCTGTTTTCGTTGGCTGCCGGGGACTCTGGGAAACTCCAGGGGGTAGGTAGTCCGAAACACTCCCCTCATTACCTTTGCACCCAGGAGGAATGTCGCCACTGTTCCCTCTACTCATCCACATTATCTCCTCTTCCACAGGGTTATACACCTTTACACATCGCAGCACTGCATGGGCATCAGAAAATTCTTGATCTGCTCGTAGGAACTTATGGTAAAAAAATAAAAATAAAAAATCCCGACAGAGGAACTTGGCCCCTAATTAAAACTCAGCTACGATCAGAGCTTCTTAATTGTTTATTTTTCACATCCCCCCCGAAGAAGAAAACATTTCATGCCCCCTTGCCCCCAACTTTCTGCCACAATTATAGATAGTATTGTCTGTCGATAAAATTGTTAAAATTACACCTCTGCATAGCATTTTGTCCTTATTAACATTCAAGAAATTTGTCGGTTGAACTGTGCCTTGTTCAAAAGCACCTGGACAGTCGGACTCCGACTGAAACCATGACCTTCCCGCTCCAAAGCCCAAGTTCATAGATATGCAAAAACAAAAGCAAGTCTTGCACCTTGAGAGCACACATTACTCCAGAATAAGCGACAAGGGGAAAAAAAAATGTTGCCGGGAATACAGAATGGGAGTGAAATTTAGTTGTGAGCGTATCTGCCTCACATTCGAGAGGTCCCAGTTTCGAACTTTGTCTCTGGCTCGCTTGTGTGTGTGAATTTAGCTTGTTCCACAAAAACATAATCATTCAAATTCATGAATTATTTCTTATCAATAGTGGCGGGGACAACTGCTTCCCAAACTGTTTGTCAACAGTCAAAGACTTTTTTTGAAATGATGATATACTACACTATTAAGAAAGTTGGAAGAAGACGTAAATGAAAACAAAGTGAACACCAAGATTTCAAATTACACCAAACGTACAACAGTGGTTACAAGGTTAAGAGACGAGATAGCACTAATTCCTACTATGCTAGCTCTCTGTTTGCAGATTGGGAGCCGCACACGCTTCTCACCGCTCTGTCTCAACTGTGCCTGCACAAACAAGTTGCCACATAGCTGTCGACGACTCCAATCATAATCAGTGCATTTTACTACAGCTAATTAGTGGAATGTTGCTTATTTGGAGGGCATGTGGAGAAAAATCTAGAGCAAGGGTAGGGAACTCCGGTTCCTCGATTGCCTTATCCTTATTGTTTTCGATCCCTTCCTACTCCAACACACCTGATTCAACTATTCATGATTGTTTCAGGCCTTGCCAGGGCTTGCTGATGATTTGAATCAGGTGTGTTGGAGTCGGGAGGGCTCTAAAACAGGCAGGATATGACTCTCGAGGAACTGGAGTTCCCTACACCTGATCTAGAGGTAGAAAAAAAGCTGACTAACTTTGGAATCAATCTTAGTTTTACTCAGCATAACAATCGAAATCAACAGATTACTTTTGTTTTTCAAATTTGATCCCCAGTGATGTTTTCGCATCCACCTTATTTCATCGACACTGATTGATAAGATATCTGCAATGACATTTTTCCATCAGGTGCGAAGGAGAATTTGAGGGATTACAGTGGCCACCTTGCCTTGCAGTATCTCAACCCCAAAGAAGCAGACGGTGCCGAGGAGGACTGTGAGCTGCGTGAGTGCCCCTTACTTTCACACCACATGGGGACTGACTACACGGTACTCTTAAGTCTGTGAAATATCACGTTAGTGTCTCCAACGATTTGCTCTCTTTCACAGCAGCAGAATTTCAAGTGTCCCAGGCCAGAGAGCGTAACAGGAACCGGAAGTTGGCGTCACTCTTCCACTCCAAGAAGAAATGGGGATCCGCTGAAGACCTGGCGCCCATCGAGGAAGAGAGGACGACGTCGCATCAGCTCGCTCTTCCCGCCTTCAGACCCAGGAAGTTCTCCCGCTGAGGGACGACGGACAGTGAGGACCGTTGTGCAAGTTCAAATCAGCTTTTACAGCTTTTCTAACTTGTGAATGCGGGTTTTGCTGTTACACACTTAATTGTCGCTTTCTTGTAAATCGATATCCTGCACACACTCAAGCCGCTTCCACACGTATTGTGTTGCGATGTTTTGTGACCATAACAGTATTGACACTCAAATGAATGTTGCCTTATGTTAGAGCTCACTTGCTTTATAGCTCAGGATCATTTTCAAGTGAAAGATTGCTGTTGTGTTTCTGTTTACACTTTAAGCCCGAAAACCAAAAGTAGCTTTTATTCGCAAAAGCTAAATAACTACCTAAAAAGTGAATGCTTTATTACTTTAGATTTAAGTAACTGCAGATTTGATCCAAAGCTACCACTACCTGCACAGACAGGAGCTGAGTTCATTTTAAATCTTGTGTGCTGGAAATCACTTAAATGTTATTGTTTCATGCCTATGTTGACCTTTTTTTTTCGTGCACTTAAATGAGATGAGAAAAAAACATATTTCAATGAAAATGAGCTGGGTGCAGCGTGAGTAGTTACTTTTTAAACTTTGAATTCTTAGATGCTTTGAATGTTGCCATCCAAGGGTTGAAAGACTTGAGACAAGAACATAATCTGTTCAAATTACACAAATTATAACCTGTCAAACCACTAGTGTGAGTGACGTTTCCAGACATTGACACCATCCAAAAATCTGCAAAGTTTGATGCCAGTTAATGGTTCGAGGTGTCACTTGGCAGCCATTTGGAGCGCAGGTTTTATCACATGACTTGTTCTGATAATTCACATTTTCAGGCTGGCATCTTCTAATTAAGTGCCTTACCTGCGTTTAACGCTAGTTTTAACTTGCCAATGCCATTTGCAGTGTTCCATTGCCAATTTATATTTCAAAGGGAATTCTGTCCCTTGCCGTCTGTGACTTGTATCCGCCATGACTATAATATTTGAACAGTCTAGGCATATTGTTTATGGATATTAAACAATTTTATACTTAACTCACCCCTTATTGTGTTTTCAAAATCATATCTGCTGAAATGGACTACACGCGCACAGATTTTTTTCACATTTTACCCATTTCTTAAAATGTGACGAACACCGCACATGACAAGGGGACAAACGTGTGTCCTTACTGCTCTCGTAGTGTGCAGTGTACTCAGGACCAATAAAGCACACCACATACAAAACGAATAACGTTTTGTTCAGTTTGCTTATTTTCTCTATCATCCATTGAAAATGTGCCGTTGAATTATGGCAAAAAGTACTGTCATTGGCAGATGAAAATACAACGCCATCCCACTGTGTCTCTCCAGGTGACAAATCAACCTTCGAATCATTTGTGTAATGGTTGCATTAAATGTAAACTGATTAGTCATGCCTAGCGAGTGAAATACTCGGATGCTACGGTAACGTAGCAACGGAACTAATTCAACAAAAAGGACGCCAGCTTGCGTTGTGTGAGTGTGTCTCACTCCTTGCAACCTTCAAAGAGGGTGCCTGCTGCTGACTTGGTGGCCCGGCTGGTCTCCTAAGCCGGTGGTGGCGCGGCTAAGTAGCCCTGTGTTGGTGGGGTTTGGACAGCGCAGGAGTCACCACCGTTACACCGATACCCAACACACACAACAAAATAACACAATAAAAGTCAAGTACCACTTTGACTGAAATGCACTTGACTTCAGAGTCAGCCAATCCTCCATTGAGCGTCTCCAGTTGGTCCAGAATGCTGCTACTCGCCACTTGACTGGTACTCATAAGAGGGAGCACATAACTCCTACTCTGGCATCCCTTCACTGGCTCGCTATACATTTTACAGTTCTTTTGAAGTTGCTATTATTGATTTTCAAATCTTTAAATGGCCACCTTACCTCTCTGAGCTCCTCCGCCCCTGCACACCTGACCGTGCTTCAGGTCTGTGGACCAGACATTATTAGAGGTACCAAGAACTAAGCGAAGGCTCAGAGGGGACCGAGCCTTTTCCGTTGTGAGTCCCTCTCTTTGGAATGCCGTCCCACTGAACGCTTGGCAAGCCCCCTCGCTCGTCTCAAAACTCATTTTTATTCTTTGGCTTTTGACTCAGCATGAGGCTTGATTTTTTTTAATTTGACTGCTTTTGTTCTTTCTACTGTGTCATTAATTTATTGTTTCATCGCTTGTTGTTGTGCGAATTATTTTTGCTCCATGTACAGCACTTAACTATTGGGTTATATGGCAGGAGGGATGTTTTTATATAATAAGACAAATATGTTCAAACTGATAAACATAACTGTATTTTTGTGGCATGGCGGCAACCAAGTCTCGCTCGCTTTGCACTCGTAGGTGACGTCATTACGCTGGTGTACGTACACTGCTGTCTTCAAGTGCGTCATGGAAAATCATCAACTCTTCTGTTCGCGCAGTTACAATTTAGAAAGACGCCCTTCAGAACAGAAACTCGGCACCACTTGCTTTCATGTGAATCGGTGCTCGGTAGTACCGACCCAAATGCATCCATACGGTAAAAAGTACCATCTTTGCTACCCATCTCTATGTAAAGGGCGCTTGCGCAACACCGCCTCCGACGGTCCTTTTACTACCTGACTTTGTGGGCCACAGATGGAGTAAATATGGCCTCTGCTAACTCTCCATACGGCTTTAGCTCTTAATTCCTGATTAGTTGAAAAGGGCAGCACTTGCTCTCGGGACCTCGGGATATCAGACGACACCGAGGGCGGATGGGGGCAAGTGTTTTTGTGCCTCATTTTTGAAGCGGGGATGTTGGCGGGATAAGAGGGAGTTTCTGTAATAGATACTTATCTTACTGCCTTCAAGCCCCTCAAACAAAGTCCCCCTCTGAAGAGATTATAACCCAGGGAGGCACATTAACTCTAATCCCATGCTTTGAGGCCTCACGCCCCCGTACCACCCTCTGCCCCATTTATTCCATCCCTTCTGTTGTTTGGGGAGAGGGGGGCCTCACCTTGTTTCTGGTGCTTGTAGGAGCAAGGCCTGTGGCTACACGACGCTCGTGTGCGTGTGTGTGTGTGTGTGTGTGTGTGGTGGTGTGTGGTGGTGGGGGGGTGGAGTAACTGCTTCTGTTTCTATAGCCCGCTGACTCCAGTGAAAAGCACTGAGAGCCGCATACTGCTGTGTAACTGATTCCTCTCTCTGAAGAGATTAGGCACTACATTGTCGCTTCGGTTGCTCATTTCCATGAGAGCGAAGCCTCCCGCCATCGCTCCGCTCGCCTTTGTTATTTCCACTCAGAAAACACAGGGCCCGATGTCCCGGGCTTCCTCGTTGTCATTGTCTCACAAATTGGCCCCAAATGTAGATGTCACGTCACAGATGCCCAATAACCTCATTAGTGCCTGGGGAGAATGCATATGCGCGTGAACTTCACTTTGTTGTGTTTAGGCACCGCGTGGATTTGACAGGAGGCGTTAAGATTTTGCTTCGACATGATGGATACCAAATGCTGCTCCTCTGCTGATAATTACCGGGTGATACCATTTATGACTTCATGAGGAAAACAACAACAAAAATGGACACTTTTTATCTGAAAAGTGTCTCAAATGAGTGGCATTATTTGCAACGCAAGTACAAAGCAAGCCAGTTTGGTTATTCGGCACTCACAGAGAGACTCACAAAGTACAAGAAAGTCTTTGTGGAATTCTTGCCTGACTAGTTGGGTGGTACAGCTTTTTTTATGGATACCAAATGCTGCTCCTCTGCTGATAATTACCAGGTGATACCATTTATGACTTCATAAGGAAACCAACAACAAAAATGGACACTTTTTATCTGTAAAGTGTCTCAAATGAGTGGCGTTATTTGCAACGCAAGTACAAAGCAAGCCAGTTTGGTTATCCGGCACTCACAGAGACACTCACAAAGTACGAGAAAATCTTTGTGGAATTCTTGCCTGACCAGATGGGTGGTACAGCTTTTTTTTAAATGGCCACAAAAGAGGCAGCTCTTAATTTTAACAGAAGTGTCTTCCACAATTTGAGTGCAGTGGCCCATTGTTTTTGTAGTCTCGTGTGAGCGGCAGGAAGCAAAAGTCTGAGGGAAAACCAGCACGCAATTCCAATTTAATTCCCCGTCTCATTTCAATGCACCTTGTCAAGGATGGCATGAAATAGCAATTTATTCTGTCAACACCGCGACGTGACAATTGGACAGAAAGCATTATAAATGAATACTACAAAAAAAAATCCATAATATTTAGGTTGTCTGTCTAAATTTCAAATTAAATTAAAGTGTAACTTCTTCAAGTACATGCCCGGCATGCGTATTACAGTGTTTGTCAGTCGTTTTTGCAGAATGCCGTGAATGGTGATAGATTTAACATCTTTATGTGAAAGACAAAATGTTTGGCTTTGTTGCTAGTGTAAACAGACTCCTTTGAAAAAGAATGCTTTTTCTTTATCCAACGAGTTTCAGCGTGATGACATCACGATAAAAAACTTAGCTTGTAGCAGACGTGTGCACATTTTCAGCATGACGTCTCTGATCCACTGGTGAAAGGACACTTTGATCCTCTCCTCTTTCATCTATAACTGCTTCAGACAACAAAGTGTATGCAGGAAAGTGGTGAAGATTGCACGACTGTCTGTGTCCTATGTGTTGTGTTGTGTTATTTTTGTTATTTGGACTTCAAGATGGCGCCGCGAGAGTGGCTGGCTTTCCAGCAGCTCCTATATTTTGTTGTTCTACTTCTTCCTTTCATAACTTTGCTGCTGTGAATTGGGAATTTCTCCATTGCGAGACTAATAAAGGTTTTCTTCTTCTTCTTCTTCTTCTAAAGGTGAATTTCATCAAATTTGTCGGGTTCAAACAACGAGCGCATTTCATTTTGGGTGCGCTTTATTTCACGTCGTTTAAATCCAATTTATGTGTTTTTTACGCTCGCATGAATGCGGATGTTCCCTTCTCTGCAGAGTTACACCAAAAAAAGGAAGTGGTTTGAGAACCTCCCGTCCAGTTATGAAATGATATTCCACCGACGGCAGCGCCAGCTGTCGCGGTCGGCCATCGCCTCCCCAACCAATGGCGCCTGTCACTCACCCAGCGGAGGGCCGTCAATCAGCCCGCACCCTGGGGGGAGTCTGGTGGGGGTGGAGGGGCGGACCTCGGGCCGGCCCCAAACAAAGACATACTTACATTTGCAAGCGCTTTCAACGCCACTAGTATTTTGAAAGAATGATAGAGTGGTACTGATAAGAGCAATGACAAAGGACAAAGAGTGGAAGGGGGGTCTTCTGGTGGTGGTCGTGGGAGGGGGTAAGATAGTCAAGAAGTGGGAAGCCATGATAACATTCACACTTTGCTTACATCTCCCCATTTGTGCCGTCGCCCCAGGAAAATCCCATTAAGCGGCACAATTGGATATTTGTCGTAAAGCATTTCATGTAAATGACGGCCACGATAATCACGCCATTGATCTCTGCGTTTTTCCTGAAATGCTCCCATCCAGAAAGTCATCATCGAATGTAGCCGGCCATCAACATGAATCGTGTGCGAAGCACCTCTCTCGGTACGCACGTCCCGTGAAAAATAAACTAACGAGGCGAAGGTGTTGACAACTCTTGTGGATTGTCGCTTGAGACATTTGTTTTCCGCTCTCGCTTGCTGACGAGCGCTTCTATTTACACATTTTAACCCTTTGTCAGCCACCTTTAACGGGCTCCACACGTCCAAACCCGTTGTCCCAGTGACCCATGATGGACATATTTGACAATGTTGTGATAAGCGATGTGTGCGTAGACCAAAAGGTCAGGTCAAAACATTTCCACAAAATTCCATTTCATTAGTCAAGAACCATAGAATGTTTTTGTTTCTAACTAACTATAACTGTGTACATCAAGGATGGCACACTCTGAGCGGCCCCCAATTTAAAAAAAAATCTATTTATCTAGCTATATATATATATATATATATATATGTAGGGGGTGAACTTTTTTTGTTTTTTTATTTTTGCTAGTTTTATTTTTTTGGCAGTTATTTTTTTGAATTACACATTT